CTTTCCAGGACATATCTTGGAGATGGCCACAGTGGCTAAGTGAGTAAGATGCTAGGTCGCTAGCCTGGAGGTCGCGTGTTTAATTCCGATTTTCCGGCGTGGTTTCCTCTAGTCAGTGAAGCAGGACGGAGGGCCTGATCAGGTCAACCGTCTAGTCGTTCCGGTGGGAACACATTGGCGTGCACGTAAAAGATCCCTTGGTAGTTATAATTCGATATAAGAGTAGACCGTAGCGCCGCTGTCTGAGCACAATTTCACCCATAGCACACTGTATGACGTATGCCCGCCTTCATTAGCCCAGTCAAAGCAGAACAGTAGGACGCTAAACCCCATTTCATTTCCCGGACTTGAACAATTTTTGAACTAGTTTAATTATTATTGAATAGTGTCAATTCCACTTTTCACTTACCACGAATCGTCTCTTCCTTTTTAACTTCTATTATCACCCTACCCTGTATCAACTGACCGGGGTAATATACATCCTGGGAAAACGTCACAAATACTTGGATCATGTTGTTAAAAACATTTAAACCACAGTTTATACACCACACCTTAACTCAACACGTAATAAAAATAAAATCTTGTAATATATGTATAGAGGTGCATACAGTTGTTATTATTAACGCACTGAATACCCTAGTGTAACGTTTTATCTATAAATAGTACCCCTTTAGAAATTACACAATAAAAATATGAATTTGGGATTGTTGTTGTTGTCGCAGACCGGTCGTGTTATTTTTATTATGTTCGCGCATGTGCAGGCAGGGGTCGTTCCTGCTGAAGGAAACTGGAGTACCCGGAGTAAACCCACGCGGTTTCGAAGGCGCCCTAATCTCCACGCTCACAATAAGGATCGAAACCGAGACAGCCAGCCAGAGATGACCAGCCAACTAGAGCACGAGCGCGACAATATTTATGGTATGGTAATGTCATATTGTATAATACAAAGCTATCGATATACGTTTCATTCGCTCCTTTTGATCACTCGTTCGTTGTCCCCAATGTCCGCGAGTACCAGTGATAGCCATTATTGAATTGCTTCATAAATATTATTTCATATTTGACATATCCTTCATTAATACAGGCAATATAATATTAAAAATTGAGCCTTTGTCAGCATGACATATTAAATTATAACGGTAAATCTTGTATCGCTGTCTTTTGTTTAAAATCCAATTCCAAGTGATATATGGTTAGTGCTAAATGATAAGGCCAGCTCAATTTTTCGTCATAGGTCATGAGATGTAAACAAGGCTAGCGCTAATCCCAACCCTAATCCTCACCCTGGACCTAGCCCCAATGCCTACCCTAACCCTAACCTACAATCTCGCCAACAATCACGTGCCCTAACCTTTTTACATCTCAGCGATAATTACGAACCCTGAGCTGGCCTTAACAAATAGATTCAGTCGGTGATATATGCATGTCACGTGTCATCGTTAATTTTGAACCGAGGAGCGTGTAGTAAAACTATATAATTATTCACTGGTTATTACGGAAGCCGAAATATAGGAACTATTTTTGTTTTATTTATTTATTTCCAATTTTTATTTTTAATTTTAAAAAATAATGTCTTAATTTCTATCCCAACATTCAGTATTCTGACAGGTGTTCATTTAAAATTCAAGTGATATTAATAATTGGTTTTTTTTTAAATAACCCTCTGTGATTCGTTGCGTTGTTGGCCTTGAGATTTATTTTGTGGAAAATAGTTTAACGACAATATATATATACCATTTTCTGGACTAATTGTTCCAGTCCGACTGCATGATATCGAGTAGAACTTTAAAATCGCACCGGAACATATCAAGGAATGCCGATTGTGCGACCATTCTTTTAGCCGACCATTGGTATCTTACTATAAGGGAAGTAACTGCAATGAGCAGAGCACGGCACAGAAGGTCCCAGACAGCAATTATTTGCCCATTGACTTCAATGTGGAATGGTTGTTACATCACAGGCTGTAGCTTTTTGCTCAACATTCCGTTGGTTCCAATCTTTATAAGCACACTGGGGACCGCATTTGGCAATCTTCTCATTATAATTTTTATAGGGGGTTGACTGTTTAGATTTTTTGCTACGGGGATTTGATGTTGACTGGGGTCAAAATCTCACGTCCGACACAATGATTGCTCTGCAGAAAGACACTTTACACCCCCTATCCCTCCGCTGTAATATCATCAGTATTACCCAAAACTGGCATGAATTGCAAATTGGATCCCTTTTCCCCAATTCTAGACCAAAAAGTCAACCAAAAGATGCAGGAAGAGGGGTTAAACAACAGTAAGGGAAAAATTGTCTATTTAAAACTCGCACTACATTAATAATTACTAGACTTAATCCAGAAGCGCCCTGTTAAAGCCATGTTATTTTTGGCTTATAAAATTTTAACAACCCGATGCTTTGAACGTTTTAATCACAAAGAGCCTAGCATGTTACATTTATTTGAAAAAGAAATTAGTAGAGGGTTGATTCCGCATGCATATTTAATAAACTCTAGCAGGAAATGTGCAATCTAATATTCTGCTTCGATTCTTGACTGCCCCTAAATCATGAAAACCACATTTAAAAATCCCAATAAACTTTCTCGGGCAATGCAGGGATCAAACACGTGACCTCCAGGCTAGCGAGCCGGCGTCTTACCCCCTTAGCCGCCGTGACTCCAAATTCAGGGAGGGAGAGAGAGGTTAACGGCCACTCGACATAAACTAGGTCATTTCTGACTTACACATGGTTCAATTTTATTTCAACAATTTGCTTGCACGTAGGGATCTTTAGCAGTGGGAGGAAACCACGGGACCCGGAGAAAACCCACGAGGTTGGACAGGCGACACTACTCCTTGCCACGTACAATCGGGGAATTGAAACCACGCCAGTTGACCCAATGACAGACCTTATGATACAGCGCGCACGTGTTAACCTTTCGGCCATCCACCCCCCGCCAAATTCAGAGAAAACTTTGTATGGAATAAATCGCTGGCCTTGAATATTCGATCGATGATCGTTCGAATTTAATGGCAATGTGCCTCTAAATGGATTGTGTGGTCGAGTGTTTTAAGGCATTCTCCAGATTCCCATTCCCCCGAAATGCCCTAGTTGTGTGGATAGGACAATAATCGAATTTCCTCTCTCTTCTAAAGCCGCATGGTTGGTTCCTTTTCGAGTGTCAGATTTGTATACATTCTTCAAAATTGAACAGCATGCTATGCTTTGAAATGTCAAATGTCTGAAGTTCTGATAAAGTACTATTAGAAAATATTGACTTTCTTACGATCTGTCACGGTCTTCTCTGTTTGACCTTTCAAGGAATATTTCATCCTCCATTACGTGCAAGTTTATATATTATACATTTTATATTGACATTTGATAACCTTTCTGTTTGTTTGTGTCCATTTTGTTTGTCTTTTTGCTGATAAATACGTGACAGTGAGACTTTTTGGCTCTGAATCTCTTTTGTTTATGTGGTTCTGCAGCCATATTGGTTTAAGGTTTATTTTATATCATCATCTGTAATCGGCATCATCGGCAACCAGTAACTATTCCTCTAGTGTCAGTCTGCAGTCCTACATGTCAACACCTTAAACATACATTATGCAAGAACTAAATCTGCCTATTGCAGGTCTTTCTGTAGGCCTGAAATGTTATATAAATTATTAATTAGACATTAATTAACTTATCCAGACCATAATCAACTCTTGATGCCATCTTATATGTCTGATTTTCATTGGATTTGAATCCGGTCTGCTGCTCAACGCTCATTGATGATTAAATGCTCAACGCTCATTGATGATTAAATCCAAAAATGGATAATCGGGACTATGTTTTTTTTTATCGTATCGACTTTAGTAACGATGATCGAGGCTAGGCCTAACATTCAATCGCTGTCGAAACGTCGTGCTTTTAGAATAAAACTAGTGATTGTATCCCATAAAAACTGTTAATCTGTTTACCGATCGCTAAATGCCACTTAAAGATTATATTCAATCGCTAGTATGTCGGTTCAGAGTGGAGCAATTTGACTGAAATTTTTAGTATATTCCCTTTGCATTATCTAGTTTTTGACTATTATAGTGAGAACTGCCAGCCCTTTATCTAATCTCCCATAATGTATCTTTAATATTTATTGATTTTTATTTATTAGAAATTACCATAATACCCTATTATCATCACTGACGGCGGTATTATATCGCACCACAGCACAAAATAATAATGACCCGATGGTGATAATACTGGGTCGAGGATGATGATAATATTGGGCCGAGGATGATAATAATAATGGGTCGAGGATGACGATACTGGGCCGAGGATGTTAATAATACTGGGCCGACGATGATGATAATACTGGGCCGAGGATGATGATAATACTTGACCGAGGATGATAATAATGGACCGAGGATGATGATACTGGTTCGAGGATGACGATGATACTGGACCGAGGATGATGATGATGATACTGGACCGAGGATGGTGATAATACTGGGTCGAGCATGATGATCATGATGATAACTTGACATATTATTGACAAAAGCACGGCCCGTCATTTAAAGCCGAGGTTGCAAAGATGGTGAAAGATTAAAGTTTAATTTCTCATGTGGAATATTTGTTTTATATTCTGTCAGTGGTAAAATGGGGTTTGTTAACAGCATAAACTATTCGTAAGGGAATTAAATGGGGTTTAACGTCCTACTGTTTTGCACCGACTGGGCTAATGAAGACGAGCATGCGCCATACAGTGTGCTGTGAGGGAAATTTTGCTCGGAAAGCGATCCTCAACTCTTATTTTGAATTCCAACTGCCAAGGGTTATTTTACGTGTATGCTAATGTGTACATGGGACGTCAGTTTTTCGTTTTTTCGTTCCATCCAAACGACTATATGTCGTCCATTGCCAGACTCTCTGCCCGACACCACTGACAAGGGGGAACCACTCCGGTAGACTCCGATAAACTCTCTCGGCCATCACGACCATATGTCGTCCATTGCCAGACCCTCTGCCCGACACCACTGACAAGGGGGAACCACCCCGGTAAACTCAGATAAACTCTCTCTGCCATCACCGGGATCGAGCACGAGACCTCCAGATAAGCGAGTCAACGTCTTACTCACTGAGCCACGGCGGCTCCTAAATGAACAGATTAATACAACCACCCTTAATTAGTATTTATGTATTCCAGACGACAGGTAGGTAGGGGAGGTGGCCTAGTGGTCTAGAGTGTCACGCTTCGACCTCTAGCTAGTCGGTCACCTCTGGCTTGCGGCTGTGGTTTCGATGCCTGGTGTAAGCGTATGTGGCATGGAGATAGGGTCGCCTTCTCAACCTCGTGGGTTTACTCCAGTTTCCTCCCACAGGAAAGATCGCTGCGCGTGCGCTAAGATAATGAAATAAGACAATTTGTCTGCGATATCACCTTCGGTTGAAGCCGACTTTAAACTTAATCACTAAGAACAACCTTTCAATATAGCATTCTTGGGTTGATACATGGTAGGTTGTGTAGGGGCTAAATCTATTTGTTAAGGTCAACTCAATTTTTGTCATGGTGGCTGAGATGTAAATAAGGTTAGGGCTCGTAATTGTTGGCGAGATAGTAGGTTAGATTTAAGAATTTGGGGGAGAAGTTTAGTCTCAACATAAGCACTGACCTAGGAAAATTTAGTTCGTGATATTTCCATTTTGTACTTTGGGACACCTGTTATTTGTACATATATTATAAGCAATAGTTTCCCACTCTATAGTATTAATCTGAAATCCGTTTTGCTTGGGGGTGGGGGAGGGGGGAGGTATATAATTATATAAAAGAACACCGGATACCACTTCTCCATGGGGATCACGTGGCTAAGTGGGTAAGAAGCTAGCTCGCTAGCCTGGAGGTCGGGTGTTCGATCCCTGCATTGGCCGAGAAAGTTCATCCAGATTTTCCGGCGTGGTTCTCCCTTGTCAGTGATGCAGGACGGAGGGGCTGACAAGGAAAGCTGTCTAGTCGTTCGGATGGGACGAAAAACCGAGGTCCCGTGTACACATTGGCGTGCACGTAAAAGATCCCTTGGCAGTTGAAATTCGATATAAGAGTAGGCCGTAGTGCCGCTGTCCGGGCAAAATTTCCCTCACAGCACACTGTATGGCGTATGCCCGTCTTCATTAGCCCAGGTTAGGAGCAGAACAGTAGGACGTTAAACCCCATTTCATTTCATTTCATTTCCACTTCTCCATGTAGGATCAGTGATCTGTAAATTCATTTAGAGGGTGGTAAATTCATTTTGAGGGTGATAAATTCATTTAAAGGGTGAAAAATTCATTTAGATGGTGGTAAATTCATTTACAGGGTAAAAAATTTATTTAGAGGGTGGTAAATTTATTTAGAGGGTGGTAAATTTATTTAGAGGGTGATAAATTCATTTAGATGGTGGTAAATTCATTAAGAGGGTGCTGCACGAAAACTGTTGCAAAATTAATTGTGATGTGTGACAAAGTGATTAATTTTCTAATTTATAAAATACGACCTATTATTTAGATTCTGTGAACTTGTTGACCCCAGCTGGTTTTGATAATAGATGATATCGCCTTTTCAACCCCGTATATAATTCTGTTAAGTCACGACTGTAATTAATTCAATATATCCTTTACAAGCTACACATCATCTGTGTACAACACTCGGTATGACTTCAAAGGGAATTCGGTGGTCAGTGCATCATACAATGACCTGATAATGACTTCAATTACAGATATTATAATCTGATAAATAAACAATACCATATATGATGATGACTCTTATCCATTTTCACTAATTGTCGGACGCTATATAACCAGGAGTTTACTGACGAGCGGGGACGAGACGCGAGATCGGGGTATGGACTCACCCGAGTTCAGCCGCTGCCGTGGCAAGAGGACGGAATGGTTGTCTTAATGTATCATGTTAATGTTATCGTTTATATTCCCGATGTAGTTTAGTTCCTGTTGTATTTATGTAGCTGTTTAATATTCTGTTCTGATGTAAATAAACCCTACATGTATGAAACTGATCTCTTTTATCCCTAAGATAGTGTTACAGATGTCCACCACGCCTTTCCGGGATTAATTTGACATTAGTACCAAATGCAAAAAAGGGTTTTATTGTAACATTACAAAGAAGTTAAAACTGGTTTAAAAACAGAATGAAAAAGGTTGAAAACATAGTGAGTATTGCTGTGACGTTCTGTTTTATTCCTACGCCGTCAACAGGCGCTGGCAAACAACGTCTGTAATGAAATCCTTTCACGTCGATACAAATGTAGTTCTTGTTGCAACAGTCTATTTGTCGACGACACGTTCCCCAGTATTTAGAACAGCACGTGTTATCGGCACCACAGTGGAGTCTATCTTGACAGTGGTGTGTAAATATGCAAGGATTATGGAGCACACTTTTTGTACATCTCGCGTTCATACCCGGATGTAGTTGTTGGCATGAACCACTGCAGCACTCGTCATTCCTATCACAACCTTCATTAGACCATTTACACAGAAACGCTGAAAAGAGAACAAAATAATCAATTTATCAGTCAGAGAGAGGGAGAGAGAAATGGGGTTTAACGTCCACTCGACACAAACTAGGTCATTTCGGGACTAACACATGATTTAATTTCATTTCAATAATTCGCTTGCGCGTAGGGGTCTTTAGCAGTGGGAGGAAACCGGAAGACCCGGAGAAAACCCACGAAGTTGGAATTTATTAGTCAAAGACACAATCTAATGAATGGACCTGGTTAAGTCTGTGACAAAGAGCTCTATAACTTTCATCAAATTGAACGATCAGTTAGGTGCATAGAACTTATTGACCCCAGCTGGTGTTTGATATGATAGTGACTTTTCAACTCTGTATACTTCTGTTAGTCACGTTCTAATTAAACATGTAATTAATCCCATATGTCATTTACAAGCTACATATGATCTGTGTACAAGATCCACATGACTTCAAAGGAAATACTCATCTGGTCAGTTAATCATACCATGACGTAATAAATAGACAATTCCATATATGATCAGGAGTTTGCTGACAGACAGGTCAGTCAGAGAGAGAGAGAGAGAGAGAGGGAGAGAGAGAGAGATGGGGTTTAACGTCCACTCGACACAAACTAGGTCATTTCGGGACTAAGAGGGACAGAGACTGAGAGAGAGAGAGAGAGAGAGAGAGAGAGAGAGAGAGAGAGAGAGGCGGATAAGAGAGGCGGAGGAATGGTGGATTTAATATAGTTAAAGTTCTTGTATTTTTAATGTCCTGGTGTCGGGTGAAAATGTCGGATTGTCGGGTTAAAATGTGATGTCGGGTTGTCGGGTTGTCGGGTTGTCGATTTATGAAGGGCGACACCAGGACATCACGACATGATACTAATCAGTCACCAATCAGTCGCCATTGTCTACAAAGTTTCAGTTCAGTAAATGTACGTTTTGTTTCATTTATACCGAAACAATGCCGGGAGATGAAGAGATTTTACTATACTATATCATTTATACCGAAACAATGCCGAGAGATGAACAGATTTTATACGTTTCACCACAGCAACTCTTCGATTAATAATTTCAGTGATAATTTCCATTTAATTCTTATGTGCTATCTATTTGGTTCAGAATCTCAGTACAATGGTTAGACACAATGGGAGAGATTAATAATTTCAGTTTCATTCTTATATGCTACCTATTTGGTAGGACGTTAAACCCCATTTCATTGCATTTCATTTCATTTCTAACATACGGTTCTTTCTTTCTTTGGTCACATGTGCAGTGCTAGGACAGCCAATGTTACCCCCCCCCCCCCCCTCCTTCTTTCCAATATCTAAGTTCTGAGGAATCAAAACACTTTTTAAAAGGTCATAAGGGTTAGTGACATAGTATTAAAAATGTTACATAATCACAGATTATCTGATGTTTTAGACGCTTCCTGCCAACTTGACACCTGTTCGCTATCGACATCCCTGGAGTTCTTGGTCTATGTGATTATGTAACGATTAGTTAACCATATCTTGTTGGCATGTCTTATTTAAACTTTCTTTGATGATAAGCAAATGTTAAACCTGATATGATACATGATACATCAGCCAGATGTCTAATAAGATTCCTTTGTCTGGAAGGGTTTATAAGCCCAGAGAACAAACGAATCGAGAAAAGGTCCGGCCAGGACAGGCCACGCAGGTCTGGAGTTAAGACCGGACAACGGCCATGTAATGTAAGTTAGTTGTGAGTTGGCACATTCGTGCCTAGCCGAGCTAGGGCCATGGCTCCCTCAACACAAGCTAATTACAGAGTCTTAAGTTTTGTACATAATATGTTAGAAGAAGAATAAAAGTATTATGAGAAGTTAAACTGGTCTTGTCATCTGAACGTGATATAAAGAACCAATGCTGTCACAAAAAGCATAGGCCCCATAGACTCTTATGGGTCCTGGGGCGGCGCACCGACCGATTGCATACCTATCCCATGAGGCCTGAGGTTGGGTGCCACATTTTCTCCGCCCCCGCTTTCATCATACTTCTAAAGACAAGCGTAAGTAAGCAAATGATTGAAATATAAATATGCCACACTTTAGTCCCCAATGACCTACAGTAGATATTGTCGAGCGGGCGTCAAACATACATTAAGCAAGAGCTAAATCAGCCTATTGCAGGTAGGTCCTTCTTTAGGCCTTAAATGTTATATAAACTATCAATTAGACATTTTAATGGTTTGGATTAGTTAATTAAAGTTAACTTATCCAAACCATCTTATGTGTCGGATTTTCACTGGATTTGAATCTGATCTGCTGCTCAACGCTCATTGATGATTAAATCCAAAACTGGAAAATCGAGACTATGTTTTTTTTTTATCGTACCGACTTTAGTAATGATGATCGAGGCTAGGCTAAAAATTAAAAAGCTAATATCTCGGTTCAGAGTGGAGCAATTTGACTGAAATTTTCAACATATTTTATTGACCTTATTTATTTTTCAACTATTATAGTGAGAAATATCAACTCTTTATCTAATCTCCCATAATGTATCTTTAAACAACGATTCTTATCTCTTATCGTCTCATACAGGAAACTAGTATCTCTTATCATTCAATACAAATAATACTATTTAGATAGATGATTCCCAGCTTTGAAAATTCCATGTCTCCAGACCACACGAGACAGTATAATCACACGTAAGCCTGTACAAACTTAACTAAACCGAGGGATAACCATTTCAAATATTGGACTACATTATAAATAACAACAGCCAGATTCTATAGACAGTCGATGACATTAAATAAAACTGACACCGTCTGAGATATACCGATTAACCCATCCTTAACCCGCTTTCTGATTATAATATCTTTAATGACAGTTTACCACAGAAATACCGTAATAACGTTACCGACTTCCATATCCGCCCAAAATAGATTTCGATTTGCTTTACGCAATTATTGGCTATCGACAATTCCAGTGCTATAGGCGAGAAAATGACGTTTTATTTTTTTTGTTCTGAAGCTTTCCACTTTGACGTGGATTACGCCATAATGTAGTTACCGTTATCTTTCCGTTTGAACAAGGTGCCAAAACTAGAGTCCACATGGATTGCTATATATCCAACATGAAAAATACTTCAACCCCAACAACACATTTTAATTTGACATAGAAGATACGTCGGGTGTGAGTCAAATTGGAAAATGACATTTCATAATAATTTTTGGATATCTTTGACATTTTAGATATTAAGAGCAAGGCCTGTTATTGATGCAAGTGTCGTGGGTTCGATCCACACTTTTATTGTACGTGGCGAAGTAGAGTCGCCCTCGTAACCTGAATAATTTTGTCCTGTACATGCGCACTAGTGAATCATAACCTATAATGCAATCTGATAGACGCGTGACTTTAGATCATAAGGCCTGTCATTGAGTCGGACTGTCATTGTGCCAAGGAGTAGAGTCGCCTGCCTACCCTCGTGCCGCCCCCCCCCCCGCAAGCCTGTTATTGAAGTAATATTATTATATCATAGATTAGTCCCGAAATGGTGTCGTGTGGCATGGTTTCAATTCCAAGCTTGCACGTGACAAGGAGTTAAGTCGCCAGCCTCCCCTCGTGGGTTTTCTCTCCCCCCCCCCACCCGACGCGCAACCGAATCATTGAAGAAATACTGCTATACCATTCGTTAGCTCCCAAATCGTCTCTCTCTCTCTCTCTCTCTCTAAAATAGGTTTCACTAGCTACAAGTAAACATGAAATGATAAATGTTTTTATTTCAACCAATGGCTTGAACTATATTTCTACCGTATAAAAGGAATCTTATAAGTATATTTCAAATATAAAAAAAAACCAAACCCAAAAAACATTTAAAGATACAGCGGATAAACCCTAAAACCATAATCTATTCTGTTCCTTTTTAGCTGGGATAGTTGGGGTGTTATTATAATGGATAGTAATCTGCTAGTGGGAATGGAAAATGGTGTAAAGATGGCCATTAGGACAGCCACAAGCTGTGCTACATTCAGACAACCGATTAAATATTTAATGCTGTTGATGGCGGGTGTTACTGTTGGTGATAAGAGAAATCAAGAAATCAAATCGTTTTAGTTAGGACGTAATGGAATGAAGTAAACCGAATGACTTTTAACGTTACATGAAACGCTGTATTCATCGTATATTAACAGTGAAAGATTATTGGAAGAAAGTTCTAGAATTCGGTGGAAGCACCCTGTGATGTTTAAAGGTCCTTGTGTGCCATGTGTTTTCTTCGTGTTCTTCGGTTTTCTTTCATTGCTAAATTGGGGTGGGACGGCCGAATGGTTAGCGCTTGCGCAATGAATCATATGGTCTGTCATTGAGTCAACTGGCGTGATTGTACGTGACATGGAGAAGTAGGGTACGTCGCCTGTCCAACCTCGTGGGTTTCCTCCCACTGTTAAAGACCCCTACGCACAATCGAATTATTGAAATAAAATTCAACCATATGTTAGTCCCGAATTGACCTAGTTTGTATCGTCGAGTGGACGTTAAACCCATCGCTCTCTCTCTCTCTCATTGCTAAAGACAACATGTGAGTACACACCACAAGCGAATATCAGAAATATACCAAAGCGTTAAATAACTACTACAATACTCACGGGCGAGTGAAAATAAATCGCGTCCAATGTAAGCCATAAGATAAATGAAATGAGATAGGGTTTAACGTCCTACTGGTCTAATGTAGACGGAATATAAGCCATAAGAAAAATGAAATGAAATGGGGTTGATCATCTTCCTATATTTTATCAGCACCGACGGCGTTAATGAAGACTGAAACCATCTATAAGAGAAATATGAAATGAATTGAATAAAGTGAGAGAGTATGTCAAGTAATTGACAGAGATAAGGTGATTATATCAGATACTAATTATGGATTCAGAATATCGCTGACTGATTGATTATGGTTACAGAAATAGATATAATCATCAAATTGAGTTTAATTTTCCCTTCCAGACACCGTATTATCATCACGTCCCTTTCTAAGTCTAAATATAGAATATATAACACATTT